ATTCTAAGCATGCTTTTTTCCAATTTTAATTAAAAGTCTATGAATAAATTGATGAGAATATAAATTGATTTCTTTCTCATATATAGGCAATGTTTGACAATATTAAACCAATATTAAGGGGATCCTAAACATTCTGGAGAAATCTGTTTTTTTCTGTTTTATCGACAGAATGTGAGGTTAGATAACTATAAATATATTTATTGGCTATACAGATTGTTTTTTAACTGAAATTAGAGTGCTTCGCCCTTTGTTAATATTAATACTTTAATTTTTACAGGAAAAAGGTTTATCAATCTGTATAGTCTCATATATATTTGATTACAGAATTATGAATTCTAAGCATGCTTTTTTCCAATTTTAATTAAAAGTCTATGAATAAATTGATGAGAATATAAATTGATTTCTTTCTCATATATAGGCAATGTTTGACAATATTAAACCAATATTAAGGGGATCCTAAACATTCTGGAGAAATCTGTTTTTTTCCTGTTTTATCGACAGAATGTGAGGTTAGATAACTATAAATATATTTATTGGCTATACGGATTGTTTTTTAACTGAAATTAGAGTGCTTCGCTCTTTGTTAATATTAATACTTTAATTTTTACAGGAAAAAGGTTTATCAATCTGTATAGTCTCATATATCTTGATTACAGAATTATGAATGCTTAGAATTCAGAGATATATGAAACTATACAGATTAATAAACCTTTTTCCTGTACAAATTAAAGTATTAATATTAACAAAGGGCGAAGTGCTCTAATTTCAGGTAAAAAACAATCCGTACAGCCAGAAAATAGATTTATAGGTATCTAATCTTACATTTTGTCGATAAAACAGGAAAAACAGACTTCTCAAGGACGTTTAGGATCCCCTTAATATTGTTTTAATATTGTCAAGCATCGCCTATATGAGAAAGAAATCAATTGATATTATCATCAATTTATTCATAGACTGTTAATTAAAATTGAAAGCTTTGTGCTCGGAATAAAATGTCGTAAAATTTACGTCGCAATAAATTAAGAGAAATCAACGATTAAAAACTATTTATTGCGACATTGGAAAATATCGCGCGGTATATCACATTTAATTCAACGTCGAGATAATTATTCCGATTGAACTTACTTCCTCCGATCTATTTCGCAAAAACCGACGTTTAAAACCCTATCGCTGCTGTATTATCGTACTTGTCAAGCACAGACAAAGGATTACAACGTCCTCCAACGCATGTATGTATGTATGTATGTATGTATGTATATATATATATATACATGTTCGATGCGTTGCCAGCATGGTAACCAGAATGGATTATACGGATCTGATAAGAGCAATGCTGGTCGATGTTAACCAAAGCTACTGATGGTCCTTTGATGTAAAATTGAGATAACGAGAGAAACGCCAAATTGTAACGACGGGATGTAACGTTACGTTTCTGCGTTTTTTTCTCCAATTTTCTCGACAAACGATTTCATATTTCGCGTAATGCGAAAAGCTGTGCGCGAAAGGGGCTAAAAGGGGGATGATTTGTGATATTTTTCGCGACGAGGAAAGAATCTTTGACGGGTATTCATTTCTTTAAGCCGCGTTACACGGATATTCTCTCAAACGACGTGATTGCACACATATTTGAAGTGCAATGAAATATTCTCTTCGAGAAATTTCGCTCGACGTGACTTCTCGTAATAAATATTTTTTCCATATCGCAAATATTGTGAGTGACACACAAAGCCGGATCGCAATAAAAAAAAAACGATGAGTATTTTATTTCGAAATATCGTAAAAGGGTTGTTGGAACGAGGCTGTAATCTGTAACAAAAATTGACGGATATAATTTTGATGCGAAATTATTTTGTTTAACGTGCTATAGTATATGATTTTAATCAACAAACTACGCATATATGCTATTTTGCACGGAATATAATCAACGGTACAAAAATATTGCAAGAGGACGAAAATAAGGAGATATCAAAGCGGAACATCGAAACATCGTTTCACTCGCCGCTAAATCAAATTGAATAAAGAGCCTCGGTTCAATTCGCAATCTGTAGATCGTAGAAGTGAAGAGTATCACTGTAAAAAATATGTAAAATTACATTTAAAAAACATGCAAAATTACATAAATAATAAATGTAAAATTGCACGATAAATAATACTGTTTAACAAAAAAAGACTTTTTTCGAACACCGGAATGAGATTTTTTATTCTTATAGCTTTTGGATGCTAAATATAAATCCGGTTTCCATATTGCTTCGTCACGTCACAATTTTGAGAAATTTTTAATTAAGTTGCAAAAAGGCTATTTTTATGAACAATATATTTAGTACTTAAGTCAAATATAGGTTTTGTTCGATTTAATATATTATATTTAATTTAAATATGTTTCTATGTTTAATTAATAAAATAATATTTAATTGAAAGGTTTAGTCAAGTTATTAAATTTTTTAAAAGTGTACTTATAACAAAGTTCGTAAAGAGTCCTTTTTTGCAAATTTAATAAAAATTTCTTAAAATTGTGACGTGATGAAATAATTTGAAACCAGATTCGTATTCAGTATCCACAAATCTAATAAAAAACGATAAGAAAATATATACATTTTCATGATTTATTGTGTAATTCTACACTTAATTATTTACGTAATTTTACATGTTACTTTTCTACACTAAAAAAATGATTAAATAAATAAATATTTATTGCAAAACTGTCAAATAAATCATTTATTTGAAATAAATAAATATTTATTTGTTTTGAAAAGGATTTTCCTATATCAAATAAATATTTTTTATATCAATAATCAATATTATTAGTTTAAAATAAATGATTCATTTGGCAGTATTGAAACAAATACTTATTTGAATTCAATAAATTTTTTTTGCATTGTGTAAAATATATTCAGTGTTTGCTGTGTTATCTAAATAAAATTATATAGATGATCTTCTAGATGAAACTTTGGCATCATCTTATCTTTATGTAGATAATAAAAATATGTATTATCTATATCTGCATATATATATCTTAGATGAAGAAAGTATTATCTTTACTAAATTATCTAAAATAATTTTCAGATAATTTTGATTTAGAATCATAGCACATAAAAATATATACTTAAATAGTAAAACTTAAGCAGCAAGCGATAATTTATAAATAAAAATATGAATACATGTATTTTTATATCCTTTTTATAATTTACATTTTTTTTTATAATTGTGTTTATACAAGCAGTCTTATAAGTTATTATTTAGAAAATTATCTATCGCCATATAATTTTACTTTTATTTAGAAATATTTAAAACAAAATTATCTTCATTTTATCTAATATGAATTTACATATTTTTATCTCATCTGTATCTAGCTAATTTTTTAATTATTTTAATATTCTTATTTAGTAAAGATAGCAATTTTCATCTAAGATGCAGATATAGATAATACATACTTTTATTCTCTATATAAGATGACGTCAAAATTTTATCTAAATGCTCATCTATATATGTAATTTTTTTTAGATGACAGCAAATATTTCATATAACTTTATCTTTTACCTATATATATATTTAAAACAAAATCTTCATCTTATTTAATTGTATGATAAATTTCCATATTTTTATCTCATCTTTATCTAGCTAATTTAAAAATCATCTAAGCACAAACTATTAATATTACATATTTTTTTACAATATCTAATATATTACATATTACATATTTATATATTACATATTTACATATAATATTGCATGTTTTTAATATATTACATATTTATTACATATTTACATATATTACTTATTTTACATATTTTTAATATATTACATATTTTTTACATTATCTAATATATTACATATTTACATATATATTGCATATTTTTAATATATTACATATTACATATTTATTACATATTTACATGTATTACTTATTTTACATATTTTTAATATATTACATATTACATATTTTTTTACATTATCTAATATATTACATATTACATATTTACATATTACATATTTACATATTACATATTTATATATTACATATTTACATATATATTGCATATTTTTAATATATTACATATTACATATTTTTTTACATTATCTAATATATTACATATTACATATTTACATATTACATATTTACATATTACATATTTATATATTACATATTTACATATATATTGCATATTTTTAATATATTACATATTACATATTTATTACATATTTACATATATTACTTATTTTACATATTTGTAATATATCACATATTTTGTTACAAAGTGTATACAGGAATATATTACAAATATTTTTTCAAGTGTATACGGCGCGATGCGACACGTTGTCCTTGACGGCCGGCTCACTCGAAGGGGGTGGTTTTCCGCGGCGCTCGCGCATCCGGTAGGTGGCTGCGTTCGAAATATCGGCCGAGGGGAGCCGCGCTCTCTCCTCGGATTCTCCCTTCAGTGCGACGCGCGACCTAACGCCGGCAGGACCGACGCCGCCCTCGCCCCCGTGTGAAGCTAAACGAGACCCGCAGCGCAATCACGAGACCAGGAGGAAGAACTCGGAGGGATCGGAGATATCGTCGCGGGACACTGTAAACTCGATGTAAGATCGAGAACAAAAATATTAAAAAAAAAACTCGAGCGAACGGCACATTTTGAAAGGGCCGATAGTTAGCGAAGAGAGAGAAAAAGCAAAGAAGAGAAAGAGGAAATTGATGCAGACAATATTTCCGTTTAGTCCGGTCTCTCTCGATTTATAAAATGTGACAGAGTAATCTTTTTATTATAAGTATAGGGTGCACTGGATACATGATTGTGAGAGTCGAATCGATCGCGTAGAAAGAAAGGAGAACAATATTGAGAGTAAATGATACGCGCGAGTATATTTTCACGAAGTATATGAAAATGTGCGAGACGATCGATGACTGTAAGAATTGAATAGTTTGAAAGAGAGGATGTAGAGATATTGTTATAGAAGCGAGTTTCGAACAAAAAGAACTGACTAATTGGCGAAAGAAAACTACTGGAGACAAAACGAACATTCCACTGCCAGAATGTCATCGCCGACGAAAATCAAAGGTAATTTCTCGTCTATGTTTGTGCGAGCGCGCCTGATTCACAATATCGAAAATCGAGTCTGTTATTTTTAGCAGGGAGAATATTGAGTAATATCAGTGATTAATAATTATTGGAAATAACCGAGCAATAAAAGAAATATCGTATTGTTTATCGCATATATTTTATCAATTAAAAACTTGTACAATATCTCGAGAATATTGCGAAAGTTTTTAATTGATAACACAAATTTTAGTAGTCGAAAAAACTTTCAATTCTATTTCCAAATTTCTCGATATATTGCGTATTCAATTTTTAATTTCAGAGAAGATATATTATTTTTACAATTTTAGCAGAAACCCTCCAAAACTCATCATCGAGCAAACAAATTGATATTTAAACGCTGATAAAAACTTGCCTCCGTGTGCTTTATATTGTACAGCTCGTGCTTTTATAAATTTTTACAGTCATACATGTTTAATCAATAATTTGCATTTTATGATAAATATTTACCGATCCTTTTTATAGCAAATATTTATTATGAATGTTCTGTATTCAGCGAACAAAAAAGCTATATATATATATATATATACCGAATTAATAAAAATTACAAGCCATTAGTATGTTAAATCGACTATTGATTGTTATTCAGTAGATTCTCAGCATAATGAATAACCAATGTTTCATTATTTTACTAATAACTTATTAAAAATAATGGACAAAGTTCTAATGAATCTTTCATTAGCAAAAATCTGACGGAGAGAAAAAAGATAGTGGACGCATTTGTTATAAATTTACAATATATAATTTATTCAAAGCATGAATTGACGAGGAATTTATTAAAAAGGGATTATATAGTAGAAAATATATATTTTCTAAAAAATATATAAAATAAAAATTCTTAAATCTATTAAATATGCGAGAACTTAATCTATACTTTTCAAAACAGTCGCACAAAGAAATAAATAGAATATGCATATACGATAAAAAATATATATTTTTCCACACTGTAAAAAAGTATGTAATATTACATATAAAATATGTAAAATTACATGATAAATAATGAGAAGGTAAACATTTCTATTATTTCGTGTAATTTTATTATTTATGTAATTTATTATTTATGTAAATTTACAAATTTTTGTGTAATATATTACATATTTTTTTACAGTACATGGTAGTCAGATTTTGGTGCCACTCGGCATTTACACGCACGATTATAAACGTTTTGCTTCTTCCGATTTGCGCGCCAAAAAATTTAAATCTATATCGCAGATTGCGCAAATGGCAAGCAGACATTTTGCAAATTGAAAGCGCGATTCGAGAAAAAACTAGTTAGAGAGCGAGAGAGAGAGAGAAAAACACGTCAATATAAATTCAATTCGCGGAGTTGCGTATCAACTTTTAATCCTTAAATATTCCCTTCACGTTATTTATATATGTATATTCATATAACGCGTTTTTCAATAACGGATTCTGACACGTGAATACGCGTGGTAAATCCCTGATCGCCGGATTCTGCCGATGGCCATTTTTTTTGGCTTCCCTTAATTGCCGTGCGGATATATTTCAACATTTTACAACATTTATATTAACAATTGAATCTCAATTTCTATTGTATTAAATATCAATTACATTTCCGTCTATTGTGATGCTGTAAATGAAACCTGTCTCTCGTGAGGATGTTATAAATGAAGCGTTTCAAATTTTTTTTTCTCTTCGAACGATCTAGTAGTTTGCCGTATTTTTCCCCAAAAAAACATTACGCAGAGATGTACAAACGATTCGAATGTTGAAATAATTCGCGCGAATATTATATTATCGGATTATCTTTTTACAAACATGAGGAGAGCGAGACAACTTTTTCTAATCAAATTTATTCGTCTCTCTGAAAATGTTACACCTTGACATTTATGATGTGCAGCGAGACATGTATCTACATGCATGAACGTCCGCAGGATTTTTTTCAGGAATAGGGGTATGATTAAAATTTTTTTGTTTCTTATTGTTTGTTTTTTTGTAACTTTTTTAATTTAATTTTTTTATTATTTTCATTGTTTTATATTAAATATGCAAATAAATTCCAGTGTTTATTCAAAAGGAGAGTAAATGCTTAATTTTTTGATGAATTTCAATAATGAGAGACAAATGATTCTTCATGATGATTCTTTGTCGAAAATTAAATATATGCTTCTCCTTGTGGAGTGAAACTTATCTAAAGGGGAAGATAAAAACATTTTTATTTTTTTCTTAAAAATTAAATTTGATTTTATTGAAAAAATTAAATAAAAAAAGTTTCTAAAGGAATCAAGCTTTCAAACGCATATTTTTAAATGATCACATTCCGATTCCGTTAACAAGTTCTAATAAAAAAATTGAATAGAGGTTTTTAGTTTCATCCCTTTATAACGATACGAGAAGATAAACAAATAGTAATGATTTTTACTAGTGGAAAATATCCATTAAATTTCATTTTTCTTAATTTGTCTATTTGAAAAAAAAAAATTAAAAACCTAATTCTCACTTCCCTTTCAAGGAAGTTAACTCCTCAGGGAGGGATATAGGGAGAAAAATATGTATACATGAAAAACCACTCTTATAATCTTCGAGAGAATCAGTTCCTAAAGTTTTTCGCATTTATTTAGAAACACCTTGTATCATGGGAGTCCGCAGAATTTTTTCCAAGAGAGAGCATAATTAATTTTTTTTATTTTTTAATTTTTGTTCTTTCTTCATTTTTTTGGTTTATTTTCATTTTTTATGCTGAATATGCAAATAAATTGTAGTGTTTTACTGATTCCAAGGGCAGGGTGTCTGGCTTTGTCAGGGAATTTTATAAATCTGGAATTGTCAGGGAAAAAAGTGAGGACATTTTACTATTTATCACATTATTCTACATTTGTCTCAATAATTTGAAATTTTTTATTAAATAAATTTGACTCCCAGCACGCTAATTTTCTGTGTTGTTAAAAATCGGTTCATCTACAGCGTTTTCCTTAATTTATGTTTTCATCGTCGTATTATTTTATTTCAATGTGTTTAATAGAGACAAAACTAACAAAATTTGATATAATATAAATAAAAAAGATGATTATTTAAATAGTTTATAGTGACATGTTTGTTTCGATTATCCTACATAATGCAGATTGTATAATTGATTTAAATTTTTGTTTTTTTAACTTCCGAACCTTTTCATTGTTGACAAAAATATCTCAAGAATTTCACGATTTAACATTTAATTGAATTATCATATAGATAAATGCAAATTATATATTTGGAAAAATAATACGCGGAGAGAATTTTTTCTTAGAATTTACCCTGCAAATCATGGACAATATGGAAGAATTTTATAAGAATTTTTCTGATTAATATATATCACAATAAAAAATATTAATATGTACATATTAAATTTTACTATATACATAGTAAAATTCATCGAACATATTTTATATTTTATTGTGGTAGATATTACTATTTTTATTGCGGTAAATATTAATCAGAGGCATTCTTTTAAAATTCTTCCAATAAAATTCTCTCTGTGTACTAAAAAGTCTAAATAATACTAAATAATACTAAAGGGAAAAAATTAATTTCTGGTTTTGGAAAATCTGAAAAAGTCGGGGAATTTTTTTCATTGAGTCTGCTGAACACCTTGAAGGGGGATTCCTTTGCAGATGCCCATATATATCTACACTGAGAGAATTTTCTCTTAGAATTTACCTTAAAAATCATGGCAATCGTGGGACAATGTGATATTGGAAGAATTTTATGAGTTTCTCTAATTAATATTTACCAGAATAAAAAAATATTAATATCTACAATAAGATATAAAATATGTTCAATTAATTTTCCTATATACATAGTAAAATTTATTATGTACATATTATGTACATATTATGTACATAGATATAAAATATGTTTGATTAATTTTCCTATATACATAGTAAAATTTATTATGTACATATTAATATTTTTTGTGGTAAATATTAATCAGAGAAATTCTTATAAAATTCTTCCAATATCGTATTGTCCCACAATTAACATGATTTAGGGTAAATTCTAAGAGGAAATTCTCTCCGTGTATTATATACATATATTGATACAAAAAAAACACTGCATGTATAACACGCGGTGTCTATAGATATTATCTAACGGCAGACACGTCGGCAAGTGGAGAAGGATTGCGTAGGGCAAGCACTAATGCATAAATTAACAGTTTCTGTCGGCGGCGAAACGCGCCGCCGTTCGTTTCGATCGAATTCGCTATCGATCCGTCGCGTCGCGTCGTCGTTTAACGGGGGTTGCATTCGATCTCGAATCCGCTTGGTACCGCTTGGCAAAACTGGCGCAACTCGACTATCAATTTCCCGGCGATTTGCACGACGCGTGGCATCACGGGGCGGTTCTGTACTTTGTTTTCGATGGCACGAGCCCGCACAGCTGACGGCACAATCGATAATTACGAGATACCATCTCCGGACGACGATCCATTTCATCTGTCTTTCTCTCCTGTGGAAGAGGAGAAATCGCCTCCGACGATGTTCGCGGTTTTTTAGTTTTCACCTCGCTGGAAACTATCGGCATTTTCGACCATTCTTTCTGCTCGATGAGTCTTCTGGGGAGATACATAGATGCTAGTCTTTTGTATATTGGATAGGGTGCGCAGGAAAAGAAACAATTCTGCAGTTATCACCTCTTGAAAGTGAAATATACCGAGAGAGAGAGAGACTAATATTGCTCCAACGAGAAGTTTGCGTGTCAAATGTATGCAGTGTTGTGCTTGGGTGATTTTAAAATTAGCTAGATAAAGATGAGATGAAAATATATTTTTAAAATCTCAGATAAAATAAAGATGACTTTGTTTTAAATGTGTCTAGATGAAAGATAAAATTGTATGGCGATTCATCTAGATAATTTTTAAGACCGCTTATGTAAACATAGTTGTAAAAAATATAAATTATAATAAGGATATAAAAATATATGTATTCACATTTTTATTTATAAATTATCTGAAAATTATTCTA